ACATGTATTTTCAATTTATTACAAGTGGAGCAAGTGGAGGAAAATAATGTTGAAAAGTCAAAAATAGTGACTGCCTCAAGCAAGAAGCAGCTGTCGGTAAACTAATCATAACTTGAGCTACAGAAATTGGATCGAGGTGATTCAAGTTGGGTTGGAAAGATAAGGCACGTCTCTAAAACTTTCATGTTTTGGAAGAAGTCAAATTCGTAACACAAGGCAGCCAAAATTACCGTGAAAAGTCCAGCTTGTTACCTGCAGGATACAGCTTTACCTGTGAAGCAGCACTTATTGTTTTTGTCATATCTGGAGTTATATAGATCCAATGAACCTGATATTTGAACCAATGGAAAGCTAACTCAGGTGGTAATAATTTATCTGTTGATAATAAGTCCAAATTCGCTGCACAATATATCTGAAAATTGGCATCAAGTTGCATGTTCCAACTGTCTTGAAGCTGGACAGAAACGAGTTGCATTGCCTACTTGAATTTTGGATGTTCCTTTGCCTATAAAAGGGGACCTTGGCCACGATTTTGAAGCATCAATTCCTCTCCATCATATTATAGTTTCCTTCATTTTCTTTGTAACATTTCACTATGTATTTCTAAACATTTAGCTAGAGCTAGGGGTGAAACTTTGATGAATGCTTAGTATTGTCTTTGATCTTTCATTTTGTTCTTCAATGTTCATCTTCTTACTTGATTGAAGTATATGTTCTACAAATGGTTTTGGTTTGTTAAAGACTTTGATTTATTGTTGACAATAAGCACTCCCTCAAGATGATATCTACATGAACATTTGGGGTATTGGTGGTCTCTAAAAGTTAAATAATACTTTTGACTTACTTATAGAATGCAACTTTCATTTATGGAAAACTTACACAACTACCACAATGAAGAAAAGCTTCCATACTTTCCATAATGAAGAAAGAAAAATCTATGCACCCAATTGATTTCTCAAGTTTGGTAGTCAAGAAAATTTTATTTTATTTTTGGAAAGAAGTGTTCACTATTAATGGAACAATAAGCACCACTCCCTTAAAATGAAATCTACATGAAAATTTGGGATATTGCCATATTGGTGGACAATGAAGTCTCTAAAAGTTAATAATTCTTTTAAATTATTTAAAGAACATAACTTTCATTCGTGGAAAAACTCCCACAATTTCCACAGTGAGTAATGACTTCCACAATATCCACAATGAAGAAAAGAAAAATATTTGCACCAATGGATTTCTTGAGTTTTGTAGTCACGGGAATTTTATTTTATTTTTGGAATGAAGTGGAGTCCAAGATCAATGGAGCATTAAGTAGCACTCCCTTAAGATGAAATTTACATGAAATTATGGGGCATTGATAGACAATGAAATCTCTAAAAGTTAAATAATTCTTTTCGAATATTTATAGAAGGCAACTTTGTAGTGGAAAAACATAATTCTCGGTTTTAATCACGCTACTTGTACATTGTATTTGACATCAAGTTTAACATTGCGCCACGTGTCGTAGTATGATTGGACAATTTTTAAAAAATACACAGTTTCCCACCAACAATGTTTTTGAACACAATGGAGTTTCAAACTCCATGTCAAACGTGGAATATACAACAGGCTTAATTCATCAAATTCTCCTTTGAGTACTTTTATATTTCATTTATTCAAGATTTAAATTGCATTTAGAATTTAGAACGAATTTCATAATACTTTGATGAAATTTATGATGTCAAAATGTTTTCAAATGACTTTAATAAATTAAAATTGTTTTTATTCAAGTGATCAATTTTCCAAGAATATGTCCACAAATTTGAAATTTACTTGTGATTGTTGTATAATACATTTTTGAGTAGTTCCACTTGGGAAACGTTGCCATATGATTTATTTATCATCCAGACTTGGAATTTCTTGATTTCGTGAAGTGCAGGTTGAGATATGGTTGTTTTAATAAACTGATGCAGATTCATTTAATACTGTTATGACACAATGGCTAAGCTTTTAATTAGTTGCTTTCTATAGAGGTGACTAGGTAAGTGTCATGTGTCAAAAAATTAAAAAAAATTGAAAATAAATTGAAAATTCTTCTAGGTTTCTGGTGTGCATGACGGCGGCGTTACCTCCTAAGCCGCCTTCTAAGGTAGCTAGGGGATCTGTTACCTATGCCTCCATCTTCCAATGTTGACCCCAAACCATCCCGAAGGTAGAGATAGAGATGAGAAGTCCTAAGGAGAAAGATGGAGAAACCAGGTTCCATTTTTCCAAAACAAAATTGGAGAGAGCAGCCTCCCCTTTCCAATTCTCTGTGGTTTTAAAATTTCTAAAACGTCGACCATCTTTGGATCAAATCAGGGCTTTTATTAAAACTCGTTGGGGTTTAAAGGGGTCGTATGCTATGAGTGCCATGCAACGTCCAAGAAACGTCTTTATATGTCTTATTTCGATGGAGGATTTTGTAATTGTTTGTGCCCGGGAATCTCTGGAAATCGAGGGCGCACCCTACTGTCTATCTATTTGGTCTCAAGATTTTGATGAGGATCAAGAGTTCGACCTTGGTCCTAGTTTGGCTGTTTTTTCCTGGGTTGCCACCCCCACTATTATCAAGATTCAATGCTTCGTATTATTGGAGGAGCCTTTGGCAGATTCTTAAAGAGGGACAATTTTACAGCATGTGCATCTCGCACGAATGGTGCTCGGATTTGTGTGGAGATGGATATCTCTAAACTGCCATTGGAATCCTTTTGGTTAGGCCCTTCATTTTAAGAATCTAGCAGATGTCAGAGGCCTATTTATGAAAAGCTCCCCGCCTACTGTGGTCATTGTAAAGTGCAAGGACATTTGGCAATTAACTGCAAAAAATTGAAAGCTAAAGAGGATGATAAAAATTAGGATATAAACCAAAGGTAAATTGCGAAGGAGAAATGAAGCATATCAAGATACTTTAAGGGAACAAAACAGAGATGAGGTGAATGCACTATGAAACATAGGGTGAAATTGAGTCTATTAAAGAGGGATAGACTGATCCCTTCGACATCTATCTTATATGCAAATTCTAAAGGCATTGTGAATCAAAGTTTGGCGGAAAATTGTGATATTAGAAAGGATAAACAGGTTATAGGGGATGAGGACATGGAGAGTTCTCAGGCTGCGGTTGATACATGTGCTGTAATACTGAACAAGGTAGCAGGAAGTTTGGCAAATGAGGCACAGAAAGGGAGATTTGTGGTAGGAGGTAAAAGCAGGGCGGAAGATACACCAACTGATGGATATGCTGGTGAAGTAGATACAGATGTGGAATGTACAATACCAAATGTGTTGGAGGATGAACTAGGGGTGTCAAATGAACTACTGCTGGATCAGGCAATTGCGAATGGTAATGTAGGGGCAATACAAGATGCTCTTGTGATGGATGTGTTGGACAGCATAGCTGACAGAGTGATCAGAGAAGATAAAATAGGGCTGTATGATCAAAATAATGTTCAAGGGGTTATTAATGATACTGGACCAGAGGGGACGACTAGGACAAGAGAAGAACTCACAGTTACAGCCTTATCTCGAAATGAAAACAGCACTCACCTCAAGAGATATATGAGGAGGAATAAGGATATGGGACAAACATTTGAGGGGGCTAAGCAACATCCAGACCTGACTATGTCTGATGGTGATCCAGATAATGAATTAGAAGAGCTTGCTATTGTTACATATGAGACTGAACCGAAAATATTAGCTTCAACGAAATGGAGAGGGGGAGGTAACAAGAAGAAGATGGTTTTGGGAATAACCACAAGATTAAATTTTTTTTATTAATATGATGAATGTCATTATCTGGAATCATCAAATAGTCGTTTAATGCAGTTAAATAAACAATATAAGCCTTCCATCTTGGGAACTCTGAAGCCATTTGTATCTCTGGAAAAAAATTGGTCGTTGGGCTAGGAAATTAAGGTTTGAAAAATTTTGCACTAATATTGATTATGGCAGTAAAATATGGCTTTTTGGGTTTTTCGATATAGAATTTGATCAGATTCAAGTTTCATCTCAATTTCTTTCTGGATGGTTTTCTAGAGATGGAGTTCGTGTTCTTGGCTCCTTTGTATTTGCTAATTCTCTCCAAGTTCATAGGAGAGAGCTTTGGGACCAACTACGTGATCTGTCATGTGGTGGGGATGCTTGGTTCGTTCGAGGTGATTTTAATATAGTACGGTCTGACGAAGAACAAATGGGGGTGTGTTGACCTCTACAAGTGGAAAGTCGAAGTTTAGCAAGGCTATTCATGATGTGGGTTTGATGTATATTCCTTTTGATGGTCCTAAGTTGTCGTGGTGTAATGGTAGACAGGGACTTCATCATATATGGGCAAGACTGGATAGGATTCTAGTTAACCAGTCGTTCAGAAATCAGTTCCAATAGGTTTCTCTAGCTTATCTGGATAGAACCCATCTGATCATTGTCCCATGGTTCCACATTGCATGGGAGGAGAAGAGTTACATAGGCCTAAGCCTTTTTGCTTTCTTAGGATGTGGTGCACGCACGAAGGTTTTTTTCCATTGGTCAAACAGGTGTGGAAAATGAAAGTTTATGGCTCTCCTATGGTTAGGATTTCTAGGAAGTTGCGGGCCTTAAAAATTTCCTTACGTCAATGGAATGTGAAGGTGTTTGGAAAAGTTCAACAAGAATTGGGTTATATGGAAGATAAGTTGATCCATCTTGAATATGCTCTTATTGAACATCAGTCATAAGAGATCGAAAGGGAGCTATTTCAGTGTAGACAGAAAAATTCAGCATGGCCTGACAGAGAGGAGATTTTTTGGAAAGAAAAATCTCATATTATATAGCTGATGGAGGGGGATGCTAACACTAAGTGTTTCCATGCTAGTGTTAGAAATCAAATAAAAAGTTTGAGGATTGATCATATGGTGTTGGAGGATGGGTTGGCACTGCAATCTGCAGATGAAGTGCACGAAGGAGTAGATTGAGTAGTTCAATTTTTTCAATCATTGCTATCCATCTCTCCTATGAATGTGGTAGATTCAGCAGTGGAACTTTTACGGCCAGTCATTACAGCAGCAGATAACGTCTCTTTGTGCAAAACTCTAGGGCTGGAAGAGGTTAAAGAGGCTCTATGGTCCATTCCTAGTGATAGTAGCCTGGGTCTTGATGGGTTTAGTGCCAATTTTTTTGTTCATGCTTGGGACATCATTCAAGATTATCTATTGGAAGTGGCAAAAGAATTTTTTGGGGGAAGGCCATTGACTATGGCTCTAGGTGCTACTAACATTGTCCTCATTCCTAAGGTGGAAGCCCCTAGCAATTTCGCTCAGTTTAGACCCATCAGTTTGTGTTCAGTGATTTGTAAGGTGTTGTCAAAGATTATGGTCACTAGATTAGCTTCCCTACTTGAGGGGATCATTTCACTGGAACAAGCGGCTTTTGTTCGTGGGAGAAGCATCTTTGATAATATCTCTATAGCACAGGAGATGGTGCATGATTTACACAAAAATGTGAGAGGTGGTAATATATTGATGATACTTGATATGGCAAAAGCTTATGACAGGGTTAATTGGTGGTTCTTATTGCTTGTTTTAAAGAAAGTGGGTTTTTCAAAGGAATGGAGGAATCTCATTTTCAACTGTATTTCGTCGCCATTTTTTTCCATCATGCTTAATGGAATGACTAGGGGTTTTTTCAAACCATCTCGTGGGTTGAGACAAGGTGACCCATTATCACCTTATCTCTTTATTTTAACACAGAAAATGCTCTCAAGGTTGATTAATCGAGATGTTGGTAATGGAAGAGTGATACCTTTTCATACAAAAGGCATGGTGGTTCACCATTTAGCATATGCAGATGATTTACTGCTATTCTTAAATGGTGGTAAAAAAATCGATGAGCAAAGTGATGGAAACTATAAGAGTGTACGAGTCTTCATCAGGGCAGTTGTGAGCAAGGAGAAATCAACTTTGATTTTTTCGAAGCATATTACAAACTTTAGAAGAAAGAGTTTATTGGCTCTTACGGGGTTCAGAGAAGGAGGTTTGCCATGTACATATCTGGGACTTCCTCTTTATACAGGACAGCTGACTGCTCATTTGTTTGATCCGTTGGTTGCGAAAATTTAAAAGAAGCTGGCAGGGTGGAAAGGGCAGCTTCTCTCCATTGGCAGTAAGATCACTCTAATTAAACATGTTCTTTGTAGCATGCCGATTCATATCTTATCTGTGCTTAATCTTCCAAAGGGGATTCTTCATGTTCTGAATGGCATATTTGTAGCATCCCAAAAAAAAATTTAATTAAATTAGAATAATAATTTTTTATTTTATATATTAAATTTTATTAATTTGACAGTTGAGAGATTAAGATGAAATATATATTTTAAATTATTTTGGAACAAATAATTGGAATTTTGATAAAGTAATAATAAGTATATCGATATTAGGCTCTTTTCGAAGATCGTAATTAATTAAAAGTCTATGACTCGAGAAAAGGTTATTTATGATAAGGACGCAGTAAGTTATGCCAAATAAAAGAAAGCAAGATAAATAGAATTTTATATAGTTTTAATACAATTCATTTTCTCTCTCTAGAAACGTGTGAGGTAGGTCTTTTAATTTTACTCATTTTTGTAAAGTTTAATATTAACCCATTTTGAATTTGATTGATTGGCTGCCACATATTTATTGGATAGGAATGGTAGTTCTTTTAGATGGAATAAAATAATGATAAAGTACAATCTTTTTATGATACGTGCCACATTGGATTTGACTCTATCAGATCAAAGTTTTGGTTTATCTACTACTCTAGCCTACACCTATAAATACTAAGCAAGGATCTCATATTTTACCACACCTAAAAATATTCACACGTGAAAGAGAAAGAAGAAAGAAAGAGAGAGAGAAAGAGGAAAGAGTGTGGGAAAACAGAAATTTGTCATACATCAACTATCACTGTCGATCAATAAATCATTCACAGAGTAGAGGAAGGAATTTTGGAATGTGCATTCAAATATTTTTCTTGTACATTTCGATAACAAGGTAAGATACATTATGTGCAAGTTGTTTTTGTTTTCTTATGCTCTTATATGCAATTAAATATACATGGATTGCTAGTGGACTTTCGGGTTCTAGAAAAAAAAGAGATGGAATCCCACGGGATACAAGAGGACCTAAGATGGGTGTGCCGCTTGGTCACCGGTATACTCCATAAGAGTAGAGTGGTATGAAATGTAAATTTTATTGTTATGTAATTGTGTATGGAAATTGCATGTATCTTACTGGATGTTTTTGAATACTCACTCTTACAAAAATTTACAGGTTAGTTCGGGTTGATTGAAACAGTGACGAATTGGTGATGCGGGCTGCCAAGTGGATAAAGAATAGAGAAAAAGAAATAAGTTTGCCGTTTTTAAAATTTATCAGTTAGTTTAATTTATTCAAAATGAGTTATTTGAATTTGCTAAGCGTTTATGTTTATGTTTAGATACGATTTTCATATTTTCAAATTTAGATTTATAAATATTGCAATTATTGTTTACTAAAGAATTCTATTTTTATATTTCCACATTTAACTTAAGGAAAAGTAAGTTTTTCGTAACGTTCCGATATTTATAAAAAAAAAAAAATTGGGGCGTTACAATATTCTCCTCCTTCCTTTGAGGATCATCAAATGGTAGTAAGAGGCAGAAATGGGTATCATGGAAAAATATTTGTTTACCGATGGAGGAAAGGGGATTAGGTATTCGAGATCTAAAAAAGGTTCAAACTTCCTTGTTCATGAAATTGTCTTGGAAATTAGTAGTGAGAGGTTTTTTTGGTCTGATTTCTTTCATTTTGGTCTGATTTCTTTCAAGCCAAATATGTGAGATTGAAACTTATCATCATGTTGAAGAGCTCTCCCACTCAATCCCGATTTTAGAGAGGGGTTATTGCAGTGCTCCCTATTGTTTTACAGAACTCCTTTCGGTGCATTCAAGATGGTGATGCTAGTTTTTGGTTTGATCACTGGGTTGGAGAGCAACCTATTGCTGATTTGGTATTGAGGGTGATGGAACCAAGTCTAAAAGTTAAGGATCTGTTGCATACCTCAGGTTGGGATTATCCTCGCCTATGTGAACTGGTTGGAGAGAAGTTGGCTAATGAAATTTGGATGTCTAGGATTCAATTGTGTGAGGGGAAAGATTATTATGTGTGGCAACCAAGTACGGATGGGAAGTTTTCTACGAAGTCAGCTTGGGAACTCATTAGGCAAAGGGAGAATTCCTACCCATGGAAAAATGGTTGTGGCATTGTATGGTTCCCCAAAAAAATGTCATTAGGCAAAGGCATGTTTACCTAGTGAAGAAATTATCCAATCTTTAGGGATTCATTTGTCATCGAAATGTGATTGTCGTGAGGTGTCTGTAGTGGAATCTGTTGGTCATATCCTATGTACAGGTGACATCGCTTTGAGAGTATTGAAGTATTTTGCTTCTCATCTTAATTTATGTTTACCACATGTGGTCTCTTGGAAGGGCATGATGCAAGTTTGGTGGTCTCATTCCTCAACTTCGACACAGCTTGGGATATTACGGGGTTTCACCCCTATCATAATCTCTTGGGATCTATGGAAAGTGTGATGTAGCGCTAGAAGGGGGGGAACCTCTATCCAATGGCAAATAGTGATTTGGATGATTAAAAGTGTTCTGATGGATAGTGCAGGCCTTATTTCGAAGGTTCAAAGGTTGTCATATGGTGATGAATGCTGCTTGATCGCACTTCATTTTCCTGTTGTGCCCACGAAATCTATTCGAGCAATCCCTATTTCTTGGAAGAAAAACCTTTGCATTACAGTTTTAAATTCAATGTTGATGGAGCTTCTAGAGAAAACCCAGGAAAAGCTAGGGGTAGAGGACTGATTTGTAACTCCCAAGGAAAATTTGTTGCTAGTTTTTCACACCACTATGGCTTGTCTTGGAATATAAGTGTTGAGGTTTTTGCTCTTAGAGATGGTCTACAGTTATGTCATGATTTGGGTTTTTATGGGATTATGGTGGAATCTGACTCACTTTTGGTGGTGCAATGGGTCTTGAAGGGCAGATGTTCTATGTGGAGTTTACATGATGTTTGGGAGGATGTAATGGGTTTGACTGGTAAGTTGGATGCGTGAGTGTCCCATGTCTTCAGAGAAGCGAATATGGCAGAGAATTTCCTTGCTAAGGAAGGTGCGGGTGGTTCTGAATTGGAAATTCATTCTACAGATAGTTTGCCGACGATCCTATTTGGCATCTTGAGAACGAATAGATGGGAAGTTCCATACCTATGAGGTTAACAATTTGTAGTTTTTTTTTTTTTTTTAGTTGATTTAAGATGTAACCACGGTTTTTCCTCCACCACAAGTGATGCATTTATTTAATAAATGCGGAGATGTCGACTCTCCATTAAAAAAAATAACTGATGCAGATTAAATTCGAAAACTTTATAGGTTATGTTTGAAAAATTATTTGCTCGACCTAGTGAAGGTATTTGGACTTGATTTTTGAATATGTCTTACCTCTATATGTCATTTCTCTGATGTTAAGTTAAAATGCCAGTCTAAAAGTTTCATTCGTACCCAATTTTTAAGTTGTTTTTTAAAATGAATTTCAACAAGGTTTTAGAGTTAAAATATTAAACTTCCGCATCTTCAACCAATATTGAGCCTATTTTGATATCATTATTGATAGGTGTAACTTCTGCATCTATTTAGGCCATGAAAAGTGAATATTTAGGTGTTTAATTGAATTGATTGTTACTTAATTTGTTTAAATATCAATTATTGTAGGAAAAACCAAAATTTGAATGCAATTGGCGTGAAATAGGCGAAATTGAATCTTAATTGGAGTTGGTTCGTAGTATTTGAATATTAACCAGGTTGAAATTGATCGATTGGAAGTGTTAATTGTGTAATCAGATGAAATTCATAAGGTTCAAAAGTTAAATCCAACGTTTGAAGAGTTTGGGGATCAAATAGCAAATATATAAAAGTTGATTCGGACATGGGTTGGATGACTTAAAATTTCTTGAACTCAATAGGGTAACAAAGGAGGACGCAGTGAAGTGGTTCCGGGTGAAATATGAAGGTGTCATCCTCTATAAGTCTTCCAATAAAGCGACGTAGTTTGAGAGAACCATTCGGCTATCCCCACCAAAGCTTATATAATTTTATGCATTTCGTATACCAAGATTCAGTAACATTTGAGATCAAAGTTTTGGAGAAGTGCAGTGATGTGTTTTGCTAATTTTTTTTTTCTGATTCATAGCTTATTCTTTTCATGAGATGAATTTAGCTGTGCTACTTTCAGTTTCCTGCTGCCACTAAATATAATGTGTCCTCGTAATGCTTTGCTTCATAATACACTAAATTTCATAATCTTTATACTCTTCGTAAGTGTTATTGTTGTCCTAATAGGACAAGTTTTTTCCTGTCGTAAAAATGGCTTATAGGCAATACTGAAATATCTTTTGAACTTACATGCACTTAGATAAAGAACTAAATTTAGAGTAATTTGTAATCATAAAAACCTTTCTTGTATAAAATGAAATTTCAAGCTATATTTTGCCTTGCATAACATAAAGTTTTGATGAGATTCATATTTTATCTACTTTTATTTTCTTAAAATAACTACTTTTTTATAAACTAGTGAAGAAAGAAGTCTCCGGATTCTGTGTGAAAATGAGGGGGTATTGGTAAACAACGAAGTCTTTAAAAGTTAAATAATTCTTTTAGATTATTTGTAGAATTCAACTTTCATTCCTAGAAAATTTTCCACAAGTTCCATGATGAAGAAAAGAAAAATATATGCACCCAATGAATTTCTCGAGTTTGGTAGTCAAGCAAATCTTGATATATTTTTGGAAAAAAAGGAGTCCCTGATTAACTGAGCAAGAAGGACCACTCCTTCAAGATGAAATCTAAGTGAAAATGTGAGTCATTGATGGACAATGAAGTCTCTAAAAGTTAAATAGTACTTTTGAATTATTTATAGAATGCAAACTTTCATTTGTGGAAAACTTCCACAATTTCCATAATGAAGAAAGAAAAATCTATGCACCCAATTGATTTCTCAAGTTTGGTAGTCAAGCAAATTTTATTTTATTTTTGGAAAGAAGTGTTCACAATTAATGGAGCGACAAACACCACTCCCTTAAGATTAAATTTACATGAAAATGTGGAATATTGGTGGACAGTGAAGTCTCTAAACGTTAAATCATTTTCTTGGATTATTTGAAGAACTTAACTTTCATTTGTGGAAAAACTTCCACAATTTCCACAATGAGTAATGACTTCCACAATGAAGAAACACTTCCTCAATTTCCATAATGGAGAAAAGAAAAATCTATGCACCCAATAGATTTTTGGAGTTTGGTAGTCAAGCAAATTTTATTTTATTTTTGGAAAGAAGTGAAGTCCAAGTTTATTGGAGCATTTAGTAGCACTCCCTTAAGATGAAATTTACTTGAAATTATGGAGCATTGGTGGACAATGAGATCTCTGAAAGTTAAGTATTTCTTTTGGAATATTTATAGAAGGTAACTTTAATTAGTGGAAAATATAAAAATTTCCACAATGAAGAAAAGAAAAATCAATGCACCCAATGGATTTTGCAAGTTTGGTAGTCAAGCAAATTTTGTTTTATTTTTTGAAAGAAGTGAAGTCCACAATTAATGGAGCAATAAGTACCACTCTCTAAAGATGAAATCTACTTGAAAATATGAGTTATAAATAATGAAAAGTGTAAAAGTTCAATAGATCTTTTTGAATTTTTTATAAAATGCAGCTCTCGTTCGTGGAAAAACTTCCACAATTTTCACAACGAAGAAAAGCTTCCACAATTTCCAAAATGAAGAAAAGAAAAATCTATAGACCCAATGGATTTCTTGAGTTTAATAGTGAAGCAAATTTTGTTTTAATTTTGGAAAAACGTGGAGTCTTATACACCAATTATTATTTCTTATATATATACTTAAGCGACGTGACGTTTTATCGTGACCGTCATCCCCTCTATCCCTTGACTAGTGGAGCATTAATGAGCACCACTTTCTTTAGATAAAAATCCCAAGCACAACTCTCAACAGTAGACTACCTTGTATACTATTGCAGGGAGCTTTTATTTCATATATATATATATATATATACACTTACAATTATCTTAAACACCTTATTACAGCCACCTCCCAATCTTCTTTATGCATTTATATTAGCCATGGAAAAAAATGTGATCTTTACGTTGTTAATAATGCTTTATTTGCTTGTCTATGTTGTTACATCCCACAATAGCTCCACCGACGAGTATGCTCTTCTGGCCTTCAAATCTCAAATTTCTGATTCAAATAAAATCTTGACGAAAAATTGGTCACAAGGAACCTCTTTTTGTAATTGGATTGGTATTACTTGCGGCAGAAGATATCAAAGGGTTAGAGGTTTACATCTAACAAATATGGGCTTGCGAGGCACTATTGCAAAAGAGATCGGGGAACTCTCTTTTTTGAGATCCTTGATTATTAGCAACAACAGTTTTGAGGGATTTATCCCTAATGAAGTCGGTAATTTGAGCCAACTTCAAAAAATGGAGATGCAACACAATAATCTAAACGGTTCCATCCCATCAAGTTTTGGATTTCTTGAAAATCTACAGATTTTAAATCTCTCCAATAACATACTCATTGGGGAAATTCCTAACAAGATTTTCAGTATCTCTTCTTTGATACAAATTGATTTAGCAAACAATAGCCTCTCTGGGAGTCTTCCCACGGATATCTGCGCCAATCATTCAAAGTTAGAGAAGCTAAGAATTTCAAAGAATCAAATAAGTGGAAACATTCCTCCAAGCTTGGGAGTATGCGTGAATCTTGAAATACTTTATCTATCGTACAATAATTTTACTGGAAACATTCCGGTGGAACTCTGGAACTTGTCAAAGCTTCAACATCTCTATCTTGGAAGAAATAATTTGATAGGTATGTTTAAAGTGTTGTTCATATACATACATCTTCTAAAACACTAGATAATGCTTTCCAAAAATTTTGAAAATGAACCAATATAGTTGTTCCTTTACACCATAGATATTTCTAGTAATTGCATGTTGCTGCCTGTGGAATATGTCCTCGTACATAGCTAGACTAAAAGGTAAGTATGCATTCACAACTTAGAACTCATACTTTAACAACAAATAAATAAACAAACAAACAAACTTGAAGCTTGCACTTGTAAAACTCATGGTTAGTTGTTTGCTGACTTATTTTAATTGCAATGGCTAGGATGATGAACTTATATAGATGTAATGGTATTAGAAGAATTAAATAATGTTAGAAATAGGAAAATACCTTATTATACTTAGGCTTAGACAAAGCACGTGTGGGCTTGTAAAACTTGATTTTTTACCTTGCAACTTTGTCATACCTCGCGCCTTTTAGAACCTTCATATAAAGAATTAAAGATGTCATCACATGCTCTTTAAAAAAAAAAAAGACTTGATGGTACAATAAATAAAATTTCAAATGTTTTTCCTTCATCAAATGTGGAATAACCCACATTACATAGCATAACAAGAATAGGTTACTTATTGACAAAAAAATAGCAGATGGAATGATAGCTCCA